TGGTTTTCATTCCTACAAATAACTACCATGAAACGATTCATGAATAATCGGACCACGCAAATCATGATGACTTGATATATCAGGAATAACAATGATCATAACCTCTTTTCATATTATGTTCATCGTTTGAATGAAACTGATGACTATTCGTTATTGGGTGCGACCATTTCAGCTATTACTCACTATATAGGAATAAATGAAATTGAGAATATTTCAAGAATTTTATGTTTCATCAATGAAATTTCCAGGAAGAACTTCATTAAATCAACATTCATTGAATAATTTTCAGAATAGGCAATGATAATTCATTATACACAGTAAAAAATTGGAAATGAATATGTAATGTGATTCCTGATTTGCTTGCGAAATGGATGACTGAATATTTATATTGACATAAAAACTGTACTTCCTCACAATTTGAAAAGAGTTCGTTCTTTGTCTTATCAATAACCTAGATAGAAGGGGAGACTGGTGTGATGACTGCTACTTAGGAACTTCCGAATTATGTTTGAGCTTTGAGTAGATTATCTACATCAATATTATTATTTTTTCTTAATAAAACCGTTCAACATATTTTTTATCACTTATTTTATTTTCAAGTTTACTGTTTCCAATATTGTTCCTCAATTCTTCTCATTCTGTTTAGATCATTCTATGCCTCAGTATCACAAAGTTTATTTCCCGACAATTTGTTGAAATCTAACTCTTCAATGCATAAACTTTTCAATGACTTCACTCGCTTAGGGCCACGTATGCTTCTCCTTCTACAAACAATTTCGAGCCTGATTACACAACTGCGTGGTCTACAGTGCTGGCCTGCATTTCATGAAAAGTGGAAGCCCATGACAAAATTGAAGATAACATTCTTCTTACAGCCGTCCCATAATTGAACTTTGCTGAAAACTCTATGGATTTCAGGTGGATAAGATGTACGCCGTCTCTTCCAAAAGTTGATCTGAACTGAGCATTTTAGTTGGATGAAACTGAGGCAAAAAAATTCTGCAATGTAGCCGATAGCGCCGTTTAACAATCCTATCGATACGTTAGCATTGGACCGCAGTTGTGAAATAATCTGTAATCCGCCTTTTTATAGTTGCGACCATCTTGAATTTGCATTTTTTTCATAGTGTACTACTATTCTACTGGTCGAGCCTTGTCATTTGATACCCATAGATAGATAGGTTGACATTTATTGATAGACATTTATTGATAAGTCAAAAACAGAACAATGTTAAAAAAACAAAAAACCAAACAACACTGAAAGTAGGTAGTACACAGTACACTGTTCATTGACAGTCCGAAATGAATTCTGGAATAATATAAAATGCCCTTGATAGATAACATTTTAATTTTGTTTTGAATCTGAACAGGTTCTTCAAGTCATCGAGTAGCATGTTAGAAAAGTTTGCTGCAGCATATTATGGAGATTTTTTATAAGTCGAGTAGTTGACAATTTCCAATCTGAATTGGTTTTTTTGACGGGTTGGGCAGTGGTGGATATCCGCATTTTGAATAAAATGGTTTTTATGAACGTAGGCAAATATCATTTATTCGATAACATCTCTGCAAGATTTTCGAAAACCCAAGTGGAATATCAATCGTATGAATCTTTTCTGTACTGTGAAGACTCTGCTGCTGCCAGTAGCGGGACCATAAACTATAATGCGACCTTCATTTGAACAGCTCAGAATTGATCAGATATTTCATCATTCACTCTTACTATCAGTTTTCTCCCTTCTAGGAATGAACGTATTCGGAGTGCATACATTTTTGTCAAAATGAAATTAAAGTTTCAAAGGCACGGGATGAATCGAAAAATAATTCAATGACCAACTCGCCTGCCTCCATCTTATCCTGTATCAGCTGAATCAAATCTCTAGTTGCAGTTTCAGTGGAATATCCTTCTCTGAAACCATATTGAACTTTTTTGTGCATTGGTTCAGCATATGTGCCGTTTCTTTCTCCAATATCTTTGACAATAGACTCATCAATGCAACAGGCAAGAAATGTCTGTCAGTGACCCAGTTTAACTGATTTATTGAAAGTATACGACAAATATAGTGCAATTTCTGTAGCGCACTTTTTTATTAGGTAAACTGGAATTTCATCTATTCAGTAGATTTTTTATTCTTTAGGTTTTCTATTATAACTTCTATTTCTGACGACAGAAAAGGCTGAAAGGAAAAATAATTCATTTTTGTTATAGATGATGTCGTGCAGTTGATTGAGAGACCGTTACTGAAATTAGATTTGAGTTGTTCATCTACTACCGTCACGAAAATGTTACTAAATATATTCGCAACTTTCTGTTTCTGAGATTCGTTAACCATCATGATCGAGCTCCATGTCGTTTTGTAATTTTTTTTATTCAAACGTGTATTAACAATATTCCAGATCGTCCTATTTTTATCATTCAATTCCTCTATGAGATTCTTATAGTGATTCTGCTTGGCTATCTTTACATTTTGGTCGTATAATTTTTTCAATCGTTTATATTCATCATTAAAAGCGGCACTTCTGGGAATTATTTTACGCATGTTATTGACATTCCTCAGATTATCTGATTCAACTTTGAGTTCACGAGAATACCAAGCATTTGTGCCGTGAATATATGGGTTCAATAAGAATTTTAGGGAAAGATGCTTTGAATGCGAAAGACAAGTGTTTCAAGAATTTTTCGAATGAAACATTTATATCTAAAGAGTTCAAGAGACATTTGAACTGCTCTACACTGAAGTCGGTGAATTTCCTTCTGAAGGAATCAAATTCGATCAAATTCGAGACTGTTCCAAGTGATACTTTGGACACAATGGTCGGAAATACATGGGTCAAAAATTCCAAAATTAATACATTGTTTGTCATTAGTAATAATATAGTCAATGGCTGTAACACTACTGTTACCCCTTGTGTTTTCTTATTAGGGATTCGAAGTTATGAAATTCGAGAGTATCACACAAAATATTTTCAGACATTGAAGCCTGCAAAAAATATATGTTCATATCCCCACAAATGAGAATGTATTTGAATTTCTTGTGGATGATATTGAGAATCCTGCAGAATTCAATATGTCTATGTTTCCTTTATTTGAACGGTATACGCTCATTATACAGGCATCATTTTGAAATATATTGCACTACATCCTATATCCATTTCAAGAGATGATTGTTTAACTTGTTTAATTTCTTCACAATAGATTGCTTTGTTGGTTTTGGCAAGGATAAAAACGCCACCATGACTTTTACTGATCCTGCAGTAGTTGGTAACTACATGGTAGTTACATATTTTAATAATACCTATTGTTTAATAGGTCTGCCAGTGTTCAGGCAATAGTAAAATATCTGGTTGTTACTCCTCCAGGAATGCGTCTAGTGTAATCAGTTTATTAATGTTACATTGAATATTCAAATGAATTATTTTCAAGGAATGACTTACTTCAGCAAACAAAACCTGCTCAGATTCACTGACCCTTGAATTTGATGTTTGATGAAAATAACTAGAATTGCAAAAAACTTATGACAAAAACCTACCATGTTTTGAAAAATGTCAACAATCTGTATTTCGAAAACGAATCATTCTTCGTTTAACATTTCATAGGAGAAAGTTGTTTATTTTGACGAGATCCACCACATACTTAGTTTTTGTAATGTTCCCAGCAACTTCACTTAGCGCCCTAAGAGCTCAGTAATATGCATTGATTTAGAAAATTGTAAATATCTAGAAAACGATCATCTCCAGCGTTGTTGAGGTGGTGTACCTTTCTTACTTGAAAAAGGTATGGGAATTAGATTTTTTCATGAAAAGTACCTAAAGTTTACTGTCAAAAAAGTTAGGGCAATTTGAAATAAATAATGACAGCGTATGCAGCGCCCTCTAGATGTTACATGAAAATTATTACGAAATTATGATTTCCCACGTCAAGAAAACCTCGATTACCAAATTTCGTGCAAATAACTTATTTTTTGCAAGATTTATTTCCAATAAGCGAACAAAAAAATTTAATATCTCCGAAACGAAGCATTTTGGAATACGTCACTTGCATATTTTAACATAGTCATGTTACACCCTGTATATACGAAAAAAATTGATGAACATTTCGAGAATGATTTTCCTGAAGGGAAAATATTATATGGATGACTATTAAGACAAATTGCTATTTGTCGGTTGAACAGTCATATATCTAAACAATCTTTGGTTTAGCATACAAGCAAAACCTTTTCCAGCTAATGAAAATAACGATTATGTAATCCTTGATATGGGTTTCTTGATTATGAGTTATTATTCAATTCGAGAAATATAATTATATGAAATTACGGTAGGTAGGTGATACAGTGAATATTTCCAGGAAACAGTAGATTTTTGTTGATATATCATTCATAATACATATTTTTATCTGTGATATCATATCCTGTTCAAAGATCTATTCATTCTTTGTTTCTATACAATTCAGAACTACTTTGCAGATTATCATCTATTGTTTCAGTTTTCTTACCCACTATATATACCCACATTATCTCGTTTATTTCGAATATTAGTCTTTTTTAAAAAACAATAGTTGAGCTACCGCTAACTACTATAATATTTCCGTCATCTGATATTCGCAAATATATTGACATATTCTGTTACTTTATTTTCCCAGCTTTGTGTGTATGTGGTGTCAGTGAAATTTTTCCAATTTTTTAAACAAAATAATGTTCATATATGAAATGAACCATTTTTCTTCATTAGTTTCATAAAAAACTTTGAAATACAGAATTGTCTCTACTAACGTTGGAGATGAAATGAAAACCTTTTGAAACAATCTTATTTGAATGATATATTCGTCAACCTGGTTAACGGTTGACGAAAAAACAGATTTTAACAGCTCTTTCATTGACGATTAATAAATGCGAGTTTCATATCACAACGTTATAGGGTCTGATTTATGACAAATCGAATATACAGTTGATCAGACAATTATATTACTGTTTTCGTAATCATAATTTGAATATAATTTTTTTCAGGTTCTTCTTCTGGAGGCGTATTGGGTCTATCAGAAATAACGGAAAACCATTCAATATGGAAAATGCTCATAGCAGAGTGTTTAGGCACCCTCATTCTAGTATTTATATGTTGTGGTTCCTGTATCGGTATAAATCAGTCGCCAGATTACGTGCCTTATGTTCAAATCGCATTAACTTTTGGTTTTACTGTGGCATCAATAGCACAGGTGAGTTAAGTGATTTACTTTCAATAATATATTAAAAAAAAAATAAAATACTTTTGTATAGTTTCTACTGTGTTTATTTATTCCTTACGACCGGTTTCGGCTTATAATAACGAATAAATAAACACAGTAGAAACTAGACAAAAGTATTTTCTTTATTCTATATTCAACATGAATTTCTACAAAATAAATAAGTCATCAATCGAACGAGTTCCAGTATATAGTTCAGCTTTTTTCATTCATTACGTACCAACAAAATCGTTCATTGACAGAAAGTGCATGAAAAATAAATCGTTTACATATACAGTTTTTTTTTGAAGAATATGAACAATACCATATCCACGGATGGGTATGTGAGACCCGGTTCGAGCAGTAATTTCCACTACCTACTCAAATAGTAATGAAAGGTAAACGGAAAATTCAATGCTCTATCTGAACATTTCGTATCATTTAAATATTAAAAATATAAAACTCTTAAATTCAGGCTATTTCGAAATAAAACTCATTGATGAGATTCATTTTGATTTTTACTATGAAAAGTTTACAAAACTGCGGCATGTGTTTCGCTGTATAGTATCTCTCTCTTCATATACTGAAAACATTACTCTGATCTACGGTTCAATCAGACGATTATTCTTAATTTAGTTTCAACTACCTTTAAAGAGCGGATAGAGTCATTTCATCAACTAATAGGCATATTACTGATACATTTAATTTTTTTCCTTGAGAAAAATACTTTCAATTTACTCAAAAATTAATCGGGGTGAACTGAAAAGTTTGCCTTCTCATCACCCGTGTAATTTTATATTTTTTTGGTTGTGAAAGGTGATATAACCCAAAATAGTTCGACGAAAAACTATATAATTGAGTCAATTAATGAACAAATAGTGCCATATCGACTTTTCTTTTGAAAAAAGGGTATCATTCAAAATTTCGATTTACGACAAGGTTTTCACTTTATTATTTTTGCTTCAGTCAGATAATTCTCCCTACCATGAGATTCTTCATCTGTGAAACAAAACACACTCTGAATATCAATTTATATGTGATACAAATACATGTTATTTTTGATAGGTTACTGATATAAAATTTTCTGAAAAATATCAATATTACGTTTCACTTTTCACTTTCAAGTGAACACCAATGCGAAAGTAGAATATCATAGAAGTATATTTTTGTTAATTCAATTAATCAGCAATATATGTAATATTGCTGATTTTAATGAATTTATGTGCAAAATAAATTCTACAATTTCTACGAAAAATTTAATTTTGACTATAATTATAGTGTTTTCTTCCATTTTCAAAATTCTTAAATATGATATCGACATGAAACCTTATCAAAAAGAAACTAAAAATCCCACAGGCCTATACCGGAACAATTTTCATGAACTTTGTAAGGGTTTCTTTGTTCATTCTTCTGATAAATTGGTATTTGCAAATAATGGAGGTTTATAAGATGATATAATTTCACATGTTCATGTGAATTAAATGTATTTTAGATATAGTGTTAACTAACATTTGGAGAATACCATCAAATGGATATAATTGTGTAGATACTAAATGAAAAAGTAAAGAATGGAAAATTTACATGGGGTGTAAACAAATTCTGAAATGGCATGTCCTTCACATAAAAACAAATAGAGCAATCACGTCATTCACAGTGGATATTGATTCGATTATGACATTTGGTATTTTCAAAACTACAAATTCATCTTGAAATAAAATCCCTTCTTTTCAGTTGTATTTTATTCTTAAGTTGTCGAAGTTCAAATTAACGGCTTCCAATAATTTTCCTGATAATTTTTTTCACACGAACGCAACTGCCATAATATATCAATTTTTTTTGTGCGGAGTACAAGGTTGTACTATTTTTCAGTGGAAAAAAGTTTCAACACGTTCTATTTTTGTTTCGAAAACGAATGAATTCCCATTTCTGTCGTTGTATAAACGTAAAATAATTTGAATCATTTTTACGCTACGGAAAGTATGTAAAATACGAACATTTTGAGTTTATTATATAGTATAACAACAATATTGTGGAAATTACAATTCATGTCATCACTCCTCATTCATATAATTACCTCACATACAATCTTGACATGCGAATAACAAATAACCAACGACCTACCTATCAGGAAGTTAATGCTGAATCAGCTACATCACAGATCTTCTTAACAGATAGATGCAAAAATATTCTGCCTTTTGAATAATAGGGAAAGCATGTACTTGATCAAAGCTCAAGTATAATAAAATGTGTTTGAGGTAATCACATACAGAACGTGATGAAACATTTGAATTAGTGAGTTGATAATAATAATATTCCAATTCTTCAACATTGTTAGCAGCCGTGGAAATCATTCTGCATCTATATCTACTTCAGATATTACTCGAGAAAAATTTTGATGGAAACTGTGGACCCAACATACACATGCGAAGTGTTGCAGACTATTGGTCGACACACAAAACCACAGTTTTTCGTTTATTACTGGAGTTTTTTTCTCAACACCAAATCGTTATTAACACCTATATAAAAGCTATATAAAAATTGATTTCATAATATACAGCTATAACAGTTAAACATATATTGTGAAATAATAGATAAGGTATACCTGTATGGGTGGTACACCTGGATGGTTTACCTGTATGGGATATCTAGTACCATAGCATAAATAGCGTTGGCTTCACGTTAGTTACTAGTTTAATCTTCCTCTTTGAAGATGATCACTTGGTGATCGAAACACGTGTCAAAGTGTTAAAAATAACGATTTAGTGTTGGAAAAAAACTCCAGTAATATTCATTACTACACCAAAGGTTCCAAACAGTGCATATAATTACTCTCAAATCGATGTCTATAACAGTCAACTTTGACATGAGTTATAAAGTCCTAGTTTTGAGAGTGGACCGGAGATAGAAAATAGAGAGAGCAGATAGCGGTAGGTTCGCAGATGATTCGAAAATATTTCCAGGTTCAGGTACAGGAATATACAATGTCAGATCTTGGACAGAGATTTCAATCTGCCCAACCTCACATATGATAAAAATATTTGTTCATAATCAAGTAGTTCTGAGAGCACTTGGCCCTCATAGAGCAAAGTTTGAGATGATATCGAGCTGCCTGAAAGGGTACCCATTATAGAAATAATAAACGAATTATATTTTGTCTGTATTTCAGGTCATACTGGCCTATTGACTTCTTCGGAAAGAAGGCGCTGCGAATGATTCAATCGTACCAGAACCTGTTATTGGTATCACTTCAAGCTTTGTAAAACAAACATTGAATAAGAGAACTACAAAAATAGTTTCATACTGTTGGTAATGTCCACTAGAATCGGTTTGAAAAAAAATGTTGTTCCTGGTGGAACAGTTTTCGAAGATAAATCACTATTTTTGAAGCTATACTGTTCGAACATACAAATAGATAGAGAAAATGGTAGTTCAGAATCATTAGTTCCGTACTAATAAGAGAGTAAGGCGATAATAGTAATTACAACATATTCTTCAACAAATAATCAATCACAAAAAGAAAAATCGAATGAGTATTATGTTCACGTGACAGATCAATGTGGAATATTTCATCATTGTTAATATCAATCATTCAATTATAAATGAAGTTGATTTTGTTACATTAATATTCACCTTATCTAACTACTTTTATTGTCAATGTCAGAACTATATTAAAATGGATTTATTTATTATGAGCAAATATCCTGTCACGGTTTTGTGTTCAAACTTTTCTGACCATCTCGACTGATTTTCATGAAATTTTTGTAAGTTTGGTATGTATGAGAATAGTATATTTCATACCGTTAGGTGACTGAGATGCCCCTATGCAGAAATAAACTTTGACAAAATGTTCTTTGTTCTTTTAATGAAGCCGAACAGAGTTTGCTGAGTAAGCTAGTAATCAATAAAAATGATGAGAGTGCTTCAAGTAACAACTATACTCATTATCAGTAACATTATATTCCTAATTTTCACGAAATATTTTTCAATCGTTTTCAAATTCATTTAAAGTGACTAAACCATATTTGTTGAGAATTCCAGTAAATTGACTGAATCAACAAATGGGAATAGATCTGGTCAATATTTATCATAAATATTAGGTGAAAAATGCAGGGTCATAATCTGTATTTAACATATGATAATATATCATGGTAAGTGCTACTCTTTTTATTTACTTTTCATCCATCTGAGGATTTATGAAATGTTAATTAACATCGCTACTATAAATACTACTCGTCTAAACGATGCAGACGAATTATGACTGCTAGATAACGATTTTAAAATTTGTTGAACAATTTTTATGTTTCTATGCTCTAGAAAACTATGAATAACTGCTATAAATATAAAACATCAGATCAAAATTCCATTTTACATTGGGAAAAAACTGCAAGTATTGTTTTGTAATCATTTTGGATGAAAAATCAATCATTTTGAAAGAACTGGAATGAGTTGAAAATGGATTTGAAAATCATTAATTTCGTTATATTGTATATAAAATTCAACCTAAATACACACTCAAGGAACCCTTCATTGTGAGAGTTTCACCAACCAGTTTTACAAAAACCCAAAACGTGTCTCGCTATAATATAGCTTTTCAAGGTTCTTGTATATTTTGTAGAATCATTCTGGTTCAAATCCCATTTCGCTAAATGATCAACGATCAAGACAAAATAGATGAACATTGTCATTGAGTTATCATCTGTTAAGTATATTGAACATGCGAATAATTATAGTTATAGATCTTCAAAAACATTGGAGACTTCGACTCATTTCAACTGAATTATGATTTTCATCCCAAAATATGATGATTTCCATCGTAAAACTATAATCCCAAACTAACACTGATCATTGAGTTCAGCCTCAATTCAATATACTCATTACTGTAGAAAAAATGTGATCTATGAAAAATAATCATGTTTTTGTTGTCCCATAAATTCAACAACCTTGATTCATTTCAGATTTTGTGGCATCACCTGTGAGCTTTTTCACCAAAATAAGTCTCAATCTATATCTACTGACGCAACACAACCTTACGAACGCTTTATTACCATTTCTGCAATTGCCAAGTCATTTCAGGAATACTGATTGTGTTGCCTCACGCTCAATAAAATATTGAATCCTACTCTAATATATGAAAACTGTCAACATCTTTCACATGACCAAACGAAAGCTGTTATTCCTAATTGAAAGAAAGTTATTTTTACAGATTGAAAATCATAAATATCTCAATGAAAAATTTGTATAGGCATAATAAGTCGGAGCTTGAGTTCGCTTCTTCAAGTTAGTGCCTGAATTTGAAATAAAGTTCTGATCTTCTCATAAAACAGTATCTTGAAACTGAATATTTCATGAATAGTCATCAGTGTTCTGATGTCAACCGTCAACCACAGCTCTTTCAATTTTTTTTCAGTATTTTCAATTTCCTTTGATGCCATTAGAGTTGTGATGGTTCCAATGTATAAAAACGAAGTCGGAACTTTGTTTATTACACTGAAACAATGTGCAATCAGAAAAATTCGAATACAATACAAATTATCTATTCAGAAAAAGGAATATGTCATGGGAGATTTTCCGCAGTCATAGATAAAATTTACAGCAAAATTAAAACATTACAAAGTATATTTCCAACATTTCAACAAAATGACTGAATAATCTTCGTACCTTATCCGGCAGTTGTAAGGCATCGGTGTTGGCATTTTTGCCGTCGTGGTAAACGACGGCGAATAGCTTGTACAGCTTCTCTATTATAGACTGTGTTTCTGACAATACCAATGTCGAATCAATTTTCAAGTCGATTTTCAACTCCAAAGCCTTGTTAATATTTGTGCAACTGTTGTGGCTATATTCGAAAAACTTCAAATGCAATATGAGGATAACGGAAAGTTTGCAGAGCTTTATTTGCTCCCACGGTTCGATGTTCTCGTTAGTTTTCAACGAAGTTAGCCCCTCTAAACTTTCCTTGGATTTATATTAGAAGAAATGAACGAATAGAGGCATTTTGTTTTCGTCAAAAGTTCTTGGTCGCTTGTATGCTTGATTGTTTTTTTTTTAGGCTATTGGACATATTAGTGGTTGCCATATTAATCCTGCAGTCACTGTTAGTTTTCTCTGTACTGGGAATATAAAATTGGTCAAAGCCGTTCTCTACATTGTGGTTCAATGCGTTGGAGCAATAGGAGGTGCTGCACTATTGAGGGTAAGTTAACAGGGTACAACAGAATCAAGAAATTGGAATGCTTGAAATCAATTACGCTTCCATGAAATGATTTTTATATTTTTCTTGAACGTAATTATGATTTATTATCGATATTGATGCAAAAGTTGTAACGGTTGGGATTTCCATAAAAAATGTTGGTTTATAAGACTTATATTTCTTTCGATATTTTATTTCAAGAGACAAGTAATTCAAATAGAAGATATGAACTGTGAAAGTTAATAATGAAACTACTCCTATGAATTCATGGAAAAATGTAGCACCTTGTTAACATCGTATCACGCTCTATTTTCTCTCGACAATACCACATATATTTAGGAAGATAACGTTTGAAAAATAAAAAAATTGATAATTATGTTCAGTATCATTTTTAAAAGATGAAAATTGTTTTCAAATATTGAAAAATTATGTTGAGAGAGTGTTTTTCACAAAAGTCATCTTATTACGGTTTTTGCTCATTGCGGCAAAGATAGGTGCTGTGTACAATTTTTTACATCATCTATCAATAAATTATTCTTGAACAAACATTCAAGTCAGTGTACGAATTTCAGAGAAAAAATGTTTACTTAATGTTCTTCATTGTTATAATTGGTTCTTCATGATTATCTCAATTATTAATTGGAAAATCATTATTTCTCTGAAAATCCTAATTGGCGTTTTTCAACCGAATGAAGATTTTTTGCCATAATCAATACAATCGTTTATTGAGTGGACATTTTTCCGGGAAAAAGTCTGACTATCATTCCATTTTTTTCTAAAGTAATAAGAATTTCAGAAACAACCACATATAACTAGAAAATTATTCCTAAAATTTTTCATAACACTCCTTGATATTACACGATAGTGACCTCTACAAATTTTTATCCCAAAAGGCGAATAAATTCATTAGGCAAACAAAGATTTGTTGTTCTGTTGCCAATAAGAAACACCAATCAGATTTTGAAACTCAACCTGGATGGATTATTTGAACAATTATAAAATAAAAAAGCAATATAACCGATGAACAGAGTTTTGTTTTTTGCATTTGTTCATGACCTTATGCTATTAAGTATGTATAGATGTGAGTAGGGCACCAAAGGCATATATTTTTGTGCCAATTAATTTTAACTTTTATGACGCCATTTTTGAAAGCGGAGGAAAGACAAAAATGTTGGTTACCAAATGTTTCAATAAAATAAAATAACATAAGTGCAATACCCACCAAATTGGTTGGTGAAACGCGCGGTTTCTCATGCCAAACTGAAGAAAATAATGATTCCTGACTTGTCCCCGAGTCGACGATACTGAATAACACTGGTCAACAGTGTTTTTGTCACATGAACTTTGTGATGTTGATTGTTAATGTAAGCCTATTCACATTATAAATATATAATAATTTTGTTTCAATCACATCCAGTATTTTCGTGACAGCTATATATTCATTTCTGACCTTATATACGTATATTTCTTTGAATAAAGTCATTTAGGCGGCTGTATAACTATTGTATCAGCTAACATACATTTTATTTCCGTTAGATACATCGCAAATATGCCACGAAAGTGTTCTACTAACCCCGACACTTTTGTTATGTGTGTGGAGATTCAACATCCTAGCATCGAAATTTCACCCCATTATAATATTTCAGTTTCAATGTAAGGGATAAGAGCTTTGAAGGAAAAAATGAATGACCAGAAAAAAATCAGCGGAAAATGTTTCCAGAGTGAGAGTCAGAACAGCTTTATTGTCATAAAAGTTTAGGTTTTGTTCACAAAGCGAGCTTAAGAACTAAAACAATCTGAAACATTAAAATGAACGTCAAGAATTGAAACAAGATATTGACATGGCTCAAGCACTCTTCAAAAAGTCTATGGTAAAAGTCTGTGATAAAAATTTTTATAAGTTGCAATAAAAAGTGCAGAAGCAACACAAAAAAAATCCCCTATCGACTGATTACCTTTTTCTAACATATTTGTAGCATGTTTGTACCTGTTTGTAGCATGTTTGTAACTTTCTGATTGAAAGGGGAAGATGATTGAGGTATTTTTTACAATTATAAAAAATCGAATTTCGTGCTGTACACGGGATAGGGAGAGGAATATTGAATGTGAGATGAGTGGCATAATTCTGAGTTGAGTTCGAGATGTTATCTTTGTGCATTAGGCAGACTGTTTCTAAAATAAAGAGGCAGTAGACTGTTAAGATGTGATGTGCTAAAAAAGAGGCTGACAGGAACCTTGCACTCTAGCTCCGGTAATGAATCTCACTGCTTTTTTTGTATTGTGAAAACTTGACTCAATAAGTTTTGACAGCTGCTCCCCCAGAAACAAATTCCGTACCGCAAGTGGGACTCGAAAAGTGCAAAGTATGCTTTTCTAGCAGAGTGATAGTCCAAAGAGTTAGAGATATATTTGTGCTGGTGCCGGAATAGGAATATTGAATGTGAGACGAGAGGCATAACTTTGAATTGAGTTCGAGATGTTATCTTTGTGCTTTTTGTGCATTAGGCAGACTGTTTCTGAAATGAAGAGACATCAGACTGTTAAGATGTGATGAGTTGAAAAAAAGGCTTACAGGAATCCTGGACACTACCTCTGGTAATGAATCTCATTGCTCTTTTTTTGAGTTGTGAAAACTTGATTTATTAAGTTTTGATAGCTGCTCCTCCAGAAACAAACTCCGTACCGCAAATGGTATTCGAAAACTGTGAAGTATGCTTTTCTAGCAGAGTAATAGTCCAAAGAGTTAGAGATAGACCTTATCGCATAACAACTTGGGGATAATTTTTTGCATAGTATACTAGGTAGGTAGGTCTAAAGTGAGAGGGTCTATTCGACCCTCCACCGCATCCCATAAGGGTTTATTCACACCTATTCACACTCGGCCAAATAAACCCAGCTTTTTAACGAAGCCGATTAGTTTGTATGGTGAGTGGTTTTACAGGTCAGATGATGAGAATACGGATCTGCCGAACTCAAAGAACCTGATTCGGTCCCCTAGCGGGGCGGGCATGAAGTATATGCTCTGCAGTTTCATCATTTTCCAGACAGAGGCGACACACACTGTCTTCCGACAGTCCAAGTCTCTGCATGTGATGATTCAAATGACAGAGACCTGTAAGATGGCCTGTTAGACATCGTAGTTCATCCCTACTACAGTAGGGATGAACAACTGTTCAACAACTGTTTGGAATCAAGCTTCGAAGGGTTAATAAACGCTTTGGAGTGAGCCAATCCTGTGAAATTCTGCCAGAAGTTTATAACTCTTCTTGCCATCCAGGTGTTCAGTGTTTGTTTGGCAAAGCCCAAAGCGATGCCAATGATAGGTTCTGGTTCAATGAAGCCGCTTGCAGCACCCTCCTTTGCAAGAGAGTCAGCAGTTCCATTGCCTTCCAGGCCAGTATGGCCAGGAATACAGCCTAGAGACAATCTGTTAAGTGTTCTTATCGAGGAGAGTCTTTTTCGGCAGTTTGCTACCAATTTAGACGTTGATCGGTAGGAGGCAAGAGCTTCCAACGCCGCTTGACAGCCCGAGAATATTTTTAATGACTTGTGAGTGAGGTTGGATTTATCCAATCTCTCCGCACACAATTTCATAGTGTAAATTTCCGCTTGAAATACAGGCACATAAGTTCCTAGACAGGTAGATAATTCTGTCCTGGGTTGCGACTGAAAAAACCTACACCAGAACCGGCAGGTGTTTTTGATCCATCTGTGAAACAACAACTATCTGCTCTCAATATTTCCTTCTCCCGCAGGATTCAGTCCTCTCTATTGGGAAATAGTACTTTATAAGGCAGTTCGTAGTTGACTGTTGGAGGCATAAAGTCAGAGGTCGTTTCTTGTGCAATTGGCAATGTGCACAAGTCTGTATGCAGTCCATCCAGCTTTTTTTTCTAGAAAAATGTGAAGAGGAGGTAGATCCAGAAGGATCTCCATGGCCGCTTACGGTGTGTTACTGATGGCACTACTGATAGCCAGACAAGCCTGCCTCTGTAAGCCAAAGAGCTTCGCTTGGGTCGTTTTCTGTAAAGCTTTAGGCCACCAAGCAATTGCACCATAAGTGATCATTGGTCTGACAATCATCACATGAATCCAATGGATTTGTTTGGAACCTAAACCCCAAGTTTCACCACAAATCCTTCGACATGTCCATAGCGACAGTCTGGCTTTGTGTAAAACTTTTTCCAAGTGAGCGTTCCAGGTGAATCTTTTATCAAGGACAATGCCAAGATATTTCACCTTCGTTCCAAATGGAATGACCACATCATTGAGGAAAAGTGGCTCTAGATCGTCCAATTTGAAGGCAATTAACACATTCTGCTGGAGACAGACGTCTGCTCCCTCAGGCACCAACTGTGAACAACGTCTAACGCGCTTTGGGGGATATCACAAACTACACTTTCCGACGTGGACCTTGCCAGGATGACAAAGTCATCTGCATAAGCTTGCAGATCAACTTTTCTTCTGTCGAGGGCATCAATCAGACTATCCACCAGGAGCGACAGAAGCAACAGAAGGGAAGATAGTATCCCACCTTGAGGGCAGCCCCTGGTGACCCTGAATCTGAGCCTTGAAGAGTCGCAGTTGCAGTTCTGTTTGCTAGCATGGCATAAATCCAGCCAATTATGGCCGATTCTATACCCTTTCCAGCCAGTAACAATCCTATTGATTTAGGTAGTGCATTGTCGAATTCTCCTTCAATATCGAAAAATACAGCAACCGCAATCTCCTTGTTGTCAAGAGATTGGGAGATTTTCTCAACGAGGCTCTGAATCTGTCGATTTGTCGGTGTGATAAGCATACTGGTGATTATTCAGGGGGGATGCATATAATGGTACCCTCTTGATATGTCCGTCCAGTATCCTCTCAAGTCCTGTCAGCAGGAAGGATGTAAGGCTGATTGGTCGTACCGGTTCGGGGTGTGGGTATCTCCGGCCCACTTTAGGTATATATACCACCCTTGCTGCCAACCAACTGGGTGTTATACAGTTCCACACCAAACT